TCAAGCCCTCGTAGTAGCTACAGTTTTTGTGTCTCTGCTACCTCTCACACATCACACACGTAGACACCAGTTTTTTTTGTTGGTTTTCGGCAGCGGGTTTCGCAATTGAGGAGGGTTTATAATTGAGTTCCGGGGGTGGGTTTTATAATTGAGAAGGGTTTATAATTGAGTTCCGGGGACGGGGTTTTATTACTGAGGGGGGGATTATAATTAACAGGTCAACATTTGTACTATATATAACTACTACAAGGAGCCCCCAAAACCCTATTCTAATTAATAAGGTGCCTACATTAATATCTATCATAGCCTCTAGGGTTCAGGGTGTAGGGTAGGGTTAGACTCTTATAATCGAGCTTCTAGGGTTGATGGTTCGAGTGGGGATTGGGCATGGGGAGTGAGCCTTCGCTATTCAAGCCTAACCCTGAAACAATCTCACGGGGTTTAAAGTTTAGGATTTTGGGTTTAGGATTTAGGGGTTCAGGGTTTCGGATTTAGGATTTAGGGTTTAGGAATTAGGATTTAGGGTGTAGGGTTTAGGGATTTCTGGAGGCCCTGTTCAAGCCCAAACCCGGAACGATGTTCTGGAGGCCCTGTTCCGACCTGTGGCGATGATGGTCCCCGACTTGGCCATGATCATGGAACCTCTGCTGGTATCTTATTTGGGGTCTTTATAATACGGATCCTACTATTTAGGGTACTATATTAGGGTCCCCTATTTTCGGAAATTCCCATGTGTATATGTATATGTATATGTATATGTATATGTATATGTATATGTATATGTATATGTATATGTATATGTATATGTAGATGGTTATGTATATGTAGATGTATATGTATACGTGTGCGTGTACTTATGCATATGTGTGTTTCTTTGTGGATAGCGCATGGATGGTTGTATACGTACATACACACATGTGTGTATGGGTATATACATATATATATATATATATACACACACACACACGCACATGTGTGTATATATACACACACACACATGCTTGCACGTGTGCTTTACCTACACACAAAGCAGGGCAGAATTTGGATTCTCCTGAACTTGGTTTTCAATTGAATTAGAGTTCAGGGCCTTTTATTTCGATTGATGCGTGTCTGTTTCCGGCTATGTGGTCTTGCCGACTAGCGTTTATATAATTAGGGTGAAGCGGCCTAAAATGCCTGCGCATCACGAAAGCTGTTTAGATTGAAGCGTCTACGCAGTCCACAGATGTTTGTATTTGCACGGTTGGTAAACGTATAAAGGCCGGAAACATCCTAAGCTGGGTTTGTACTTCTGACTTCTAACCATGCTACTTACAGCCGATTCACCACATCGCCCAATCCATCTAGAAAACCATGAGTCCAATACCCAAACCCTATGATCATCATAATGGCGCCCGAATCTGAATGCCATGCTTAAAAAAACATCCGTAGGCAAGCCCATGGACGCTAACTGAAACCCCAAGCTAAGTTCTGACCGGAACGAACTTTGACTTCAGAAGTCTCCCAACACCCTGAAACCCAAAATCCTAAGCCCCCAAACCCTAAACAGGGTTTTTGCCCTGCCTTGAACTCGTCTCCAAACCCCACATCTACCGCCACAAACCCTAAACCCTGAAACCCTAAACCCTAGCCTCTAAATTCCAACTAAACACTATAAACCCCAACTAGAAGCCCTAGGCTCCAACACCAGAACTCCTCTTCGAACCCTAAGCCTTAAAACCTAGGAAATCATGCTGGTCTCGGAAGGCCGCCGTTTCGCCTAGCTCCTTTTTGGTCTGGGGGTTTAGAGCTTGGGGTTTCGGGTTTCGGGTTTAGGGTTTAGGGTTTAGGGTTTAGAGCTTGGGGTTTCAGGGTTTCAAGGTTTTGGGTTTAGGGAGTTTAGGGTTTCAGATTTTCAGAGATTCAAAGGGATTTTTTGGGGTGGGTTTAGGGTTTCAGAGCTGCAGGCGGGTTACAGAGTTTAGGAGTTTAGTTCAGGGTGTCAGACTTAAGGGGTTTAGGGCTTGGTGTTTCAGAGATGCAGGGTTTCAGAGCTTCAGGGCTTTAGGGTTTAGGGTATCAGAGTTTCAGAGGTTGAGCAATACATGGGTGTGCCTTTGTTCATGTCTGGTTGTTGATTCCTGAAGCCCTAAACCCTAAACCCTAAACCCCTAAACTCCTAAACCCCTAAACCCTTAAACTCCCTAAACTCCTTAGCATTTAATGTTAGAGTTTGGACGTCAGGTTTTCGTGTTCTGGCTTTCAGGCCCGGCTCCGGGGTTTGTATCTCAAGGGGTTGAAAGCCAGGAACTCAGGTTAGGGTTTGGGGTTCTGGGTTTTGGGGTTTTGGGGGTTTAGGGGTTTGGGTTTTGGGATTTAGGGGTTTATGGGTTTAGGGGTTTAGGGTTTAGGGGTTTCAGGTTTAGGATTTTCAGACACCCATGATACCCTGCTTCTGGCCATGTTGATCCCACCTGCAGGCGATAGACTTCCAAAGCCCGGATCTTTACCATGTCACGGGATCAGATCTCGAAACAAGCCGAGCCCTAATGTAGACCCCTGATTGCCACACCCCATCTCCCACCATCAAGACTAAGATTACCAAAGAGGTCCTGATATCAGAACCTAAACCCTCACCCCGCGTCCCTGCGAGTGCCCTGCTGCCCTAACCCCGTAGGCTTCCCTCCTGCGTCCTTGTGCTCAGCTTTTTTGCGCCGCGCTCGCTTCTTTTAAGGTGTCCTGTTGTAGCGGCAGGTGACAGTACGTAGCCAGGTACGTCATGTCGTACATCTCCGAAGACCGCTCGAAGCTGGAAGCTATGATCTACAAATGGACTTTGCAGATTTCTCGTGAAAGATTTCTCGAAGATACTCCAGCCGAACAGAAGCTTGCTCCATCTCTGGAGATTGCAAAAAGTGAGATGTGTGACGTCCTGCCACGTTTCAGCTTGGAAGATTGCAGATTTGCTCACGAGTGCGAGAAGATGGACGACGAACCCACATCAAGGACTGAATCTAAGCACGAAACTTCGAGCCCTGGATGGTACTCTGGGCGTCGAAACCTGGCCGTTTTGCCCATTAGGAGCTAGGATTTAGGGTTTGAAGAAGGTCAAGAATATCTTTTCAGGAATTAGACAGGATGGTTTAAGATATGCTAAACCTTAAACCCCCAAACCCTAAACCCTAAACCCTAAAACCCTAAACCCTAAACCCGATGTCACACCCTAAACCCCCAAAACCCTACACCCTAAAACCCTAAGCTCTTGGAGCCCTGCGCTCGAGGCTTCAAAGACTTCAAGATGCTTGCAAAGAAGAAGTTCACGCTCTACCAGATGATGTTGCAGCAGATGCCCTCTGGCTTCGGGTTTAGGGCTTAGGGTTAAGGGTTAAGGGTTTAGGGCATAGGGCTTAGGGCTAAGGGTTTGGGGTTTAGGACTTTGGGTTTAGGGTTCAGGGTTGGGGGTTTACGGCTGCTCTACCAGATGATGTTGCAGCAAATGCCGCTGGACTTCAGTTTAGGGTTTAGGGCTTAGAGGTTTAAGCTTTTGGGAAGTCTTGCGCCCTTGAACCCTAAACCTTAAGAGGGAAACCTTCGCTACTTTGTGGCTTGAAAGATGGTTGGATTACTGAGGTTCCTCTGTGTTGCCCCAGCTCTAACTTAGATCCCCAATATCCTACGGCTTAGGATTTAGGGTTTAGGGCTTAGGGTTGAGGTTTTAAGGTTTTGGGCTTAGGGCTTTGGGTTCAGGGTTTAGGGTTTCCCCAATACCCAACCTTGAAACTTTTCGGGTTCTTATAGCTTGTAGGAGCCGGAAAGTTTGACCTTCCATTTCTGTGGCTTATTGGGGAAGTAAGCTAGGGTTTCAGGGATCAGGCGGTTTTGGTTGAGGGTGGCAAAACCATGACATAAAGGACGCTAGCTTAGGTTCAAATGCATGCATTTTCTTTAAACTGAGGCGGGGGCAATTTTTATCTTCGATATGCCGAAGCCCAGAACCCCAAAGCCCTCAACACTTAAACCATCCTCAACCCTAAACCCCCAAAGCTCTAAATCCCTAAACCCGCCTAAGCCCTAAACCCGTCTAAGCCCTAAACCCTGAAGCCTGAACACGACAAGCCGGAACCCGATAACTCCACGAGCTACCAAGCGCCCAGAGAGGAGCACCCAAACTCTTTCTAGCCCTTAACCCTAAAACCTAAATCCTGAACTCCAAGCCCCGAGCCAAAAACTATAAACCCTACCCTAGATACTAAACCCTAAGCCCTAAGCCCTAAACTATAAACCCTACCCTAAACCCTTAACCCTTACATAACCCTAAGCCCTAAACCCTTAAACCAAAAACTATAAGCCCTACCCTAAACCCAAAAGCCTGTTGATCCTAAGCTCCCTTCACCCACAGACCCTAAAGGTCGCCGTTTAGGGCTTTAGCGCTTTAGGGCTTAAGGTTTAGGGTTTAAGGGGGATTTTAGGGTTTGAGCCCCGAAGTGGGGAGCTTTGGGTTGTGGGGTTTAGGGGTCCTAAATCATGCAGGAGCCTTGAAAATTAGTGGCATATCAAACGACTTCAGTAAGTAAAGCAGACATAAGGGCATAATATAGAAGCCTAAGCAATTACCAATACTATGTTGGGGGGCTCCTTATTACAAATATAGTTTAATGGGCCCCTAAACCCTTGTTATTATAGTAGCCCTTATAGAACCCTTTAAGGAACCCTTTACAGGGGCCCAAAACCCTATTCTAATCTGCGAGTAAATTAGGCAACCCAGACCCATAGAGCAGAGGTCGAAGCAGCATCACTACGACTTCGGCCTCCGAAACATCAAGTCCGTCCTGGGCTGCGCTGGGGCTTTGAAGCGCAAGGCCCGCCTTTTTTTATGGCCTGCCAGGGCTTCTGTGGGTTTAGGGTTTAGGGTTAGGCCTGGTGCTGTTTCTGCGGGTTTGGGGTTTAGGGTTTCAGGGTGTGTTGGGAGGTTCCTCTAAGGGTTCTAGGAGCGTTTACGTGGGCTTAGGACAGGGCATTTGGGCCTTTGGGGTTTGGTGAAGATGTTTGCTTGCCTTTTGTTTGCTTATAATGTCGAGGACAACCTACTTCCCTGTAGAACCCCCGAATTAATGATTTGCACTTGGCATTGGTTCCGGCAGGTTGAGGTAGTACTTCGGAAACGGCTACAAGTTTAACACAGCGACTGCAGAAACCTATTAATGAAGGATTTTGCTGAAGATGCCTGACAGGAACCTTATCAAAAACCTTAGACCGTGTCAAAACCCTAGACCCTTTAAACTTTAAAGCCTATTCTTCAATGAAGGGGTTTTGGATTGTCTGGACGGGGGTTCAGGCCCCACGGCCCCGGTAATCCACCAATCCTGCAGTTCTGGGTTTAGGGTATAGGGTTTAGGGTTTGGGGTATGGGGTTTAGGGTTTAGGGTTTAGGGTAGGTTTAGGGTTTAGGGTTTAGGGCATGGGGTTTAGGGTTTAGGGTATACCCCAAGCCCTAAACCCTAAACCGTCGTGACGTGTAGTGATTGTGGGTTTCCTGCATGGCTCGGAGTATACCTCTGGCCCCTTGAACGATGCTCAAATTGGGTGGCCTTATTGCTGTTATGTTCGAGTGTATAGACAAAGGTGAGCATGTGTAGACGGCTTATTTACTCAAGGTCGCCTCAGCTGAAGCTGGCATCCTGCATGTGCTGTTTCTGGTACAACCAATCCGACTTTTCTCTGGTAGCCTGCAATACTACAACTAGTTAACTAGTTTACCTAGAAAACATGTTAGTTGCTGGGGGTGCAGCTTGCAGCACGGATGGTTGATATATTGTAGGGGCTTTACAAAAAATAGAACAGGGTTTTGCAGGGCTCCTTGTTATAACTATAGTATCATATACCCCAAACCCTATTCTGATTTTTAAGGCCCTCTATTAGGTCAGGGGCTGGCTTTGGACCCAGTGTCTGTTTACAGCAGAGCTGAGAGCTTGTTTAAACAGCAGAGACTACCCATCACCAAGCCCTGCGAGAGACTCCAAAACCCTGAAATACGGAATATCCCCTAGATCATAGTATCTAGTCTGATTTACGGTATACCTTAACCCACCAGAACCTACTTTTGGTAGGGTCCCTATAAATCCCACGCTAGGGCTTCATAATGGTTTCATAATAAGAACCTACAGAAAAGTGGGTTTGGGTAAACATGGGGCTCTGCCTGGAGGCGTCGTCGCTGCGTCCAAATTTCCGCACTTGTCCTGATGAGCCTTTCCGTTGATGCACTACGGCGGGGATTCGGGGATCGAACCCCATAGCCTAAAATACCTTCGAGCTTCGTTCCGAACTTGTATCACTGACTCTCAAAAACCCTAAACCCTAAACCCTAAACCCTCAGAAGCTCGGCTATAAACTGTGGATTCTGAAGCCTCCCCAAATGTATCCTGAACTAAACCCCAGCTGCCAAACAGATTCCAAGAGGCCGACCCGGACACACCCGAGCAGATCTTGCTCATGCGTGCTATCAACGATGCTCGACTTACTGGCTGGTACTACTCAGCGTATCCTAGGTAGCATTAGGGAGCCCCTTTAAAGGGACCCTTCTTAACCCTACTTCTGCCTATCTTAAAAGGGACCGTACTGAGAGGCTCTATGTATCCCCAAGCGTCCCCTTAATCCTAACTCCCAATCCCTAAGGGTCTATGTACCCATAGTATATACTTTGGCCCCACAGTACCCATGTAGGGACTACTTTAAGGCTAAAGTTTCTATTCTTTGGGTACATGGACCCTTAGGGAGTGTCGGGAGCAAGCGCAAGAAAAGGCCAAACGCCCTAAACTCCGAAGCCCCAAATCCTGCTACCCGTGAAGCCTTCCTTAGAGAGAGGTGTGGAAGGCCAAACATTCGCGATGCTAGATGCCTAAAACCCTAAAGCCTACACCCTGGACCCTAAACCCTAAACCCTAGCAGTTGAGGCTCCATGGTGCAAAGTTTAGGTTTTATTCGGTCTGAAGATAAGATTTGGTAGACCTGTGATTAAGAACCCTCCCCTGTATAAGGACTTCCTCATGTGAGGCTTCTTGATTAGGCGTCTACATTCGGCTTCAGGGTTTGGTAGACCTTAGTTACCTTATAGTTCCCTTTACAATGGGATCTACCAGACCTGATTCGGTGCTTTGCGTAGCCATCGCAACCCTGTCGCGCCCCAATCCGTCTTTTGCTTTGCGATTGAAGGCCCTTAAACCTCAAACCCTGCGGTGTGTTGCTTGATACGCTTGTGTTGGGCTCTCTGGGAGTACTACAGACCTACATCAGCCTACATGCCTTTCTGATGCGAGGATTCAGACGTCAGTGCTTGGTGACTCGTGTTCAGGCTGTGGGACTTATGGGCTTTATAGGGTTTAGGGTTTGGGATTGGATCTCTGGGTCGTTTCAATTCGTTGCCATCAGACTGACGGCACTTTGCATCCCATCCCGGTTTAGGGTTTAGGGGTTTAGGGTTTAGGGTTTAGGGCCGAATTACTAAGCCCTTGTTTCTAGCGCGAAAATTTGTTGAGGGATTCACCGTTGCCTGAATCAGTGCAGCTTCATCCCTAATCTCGAGTCCCAGCTTCAAAGCCCATGCCCCAACAAGCGAAACGCTAAACCCCATAAACCCTAAACCCTATAAACGCTATAAGCCCTATAAACCCCTAAACCCTAGAACCTAAACCCCGAAACTCCCGAAGCCCTAAACCCGAAACTCCCGAAGCCCTAAACCCTCACCCCCTAAACCCCTAAACCCTTAAAGCCCTAAACCCTAAAACCTAAACCCTGAACCCCTAAACCCCTAAACCCCCAAAGCCCTAAACCGTAAAGGAACCTTGAAAGAAGCCTCTACACCCTCAAAGGTTGGTTTAGGGTTTAGGGTTTAGGGTTTAGGGTTTAGAGTTTAGGGTTTAGGTTAGGGTTTAGGGTTTAGGGTTCAGGGGCTCTGGCAAAGAACCCTCGGCTACGTGGGTTTCGACTGTCAGAAGTGGCTGCTTACTGGTGGGTAGGCTTTAGGAACCTGCGATCCCCAATAGGTTTAGGGTTTAGGGTTTAGGGTTTAGGGTTTAGGCCTTTGAAGGTTTAGGGCTTTGGGTTTAGGGTTGAGGACTTCGGCTTTGCGAGCGAGCTGAACCGGACAAATAAGTTTGGTGGTATAACGCAAACTTGAACAGGTTCCATGGTAATCACTTATACATTCTGTCTGAACTCAGAGAGGATCAGATAACTTTGATCCGTCAGGCCATCAGGCTGCCTATTTCAGCAACTAGTTGGCCCAGCATGTATAGGCAATTGGGATCACCCGTGAGCTTTCTGAATTCCGCACATCCAAGGACATGAACGCGCCCAAATGGGTTTCGCAGGACGCAGCAATTCCATACAATCAAGTTGCGTTGCGTTGGGTTCAGGGTTATGGGATTTAGACGGTTTCACGTGGCTACGGTGGCCACTTAAGTTTAAGATTGGTCGTTACTGCAGTCGTTGCTATTCATTCAGTGCTCGCGGCTGCGGTGGAAATGCTGAAAGGTACTTAAAGGCAGTTGCATTGGCGTGAGCTGGCATTGAAAATCTACATAGCTAAACAACCCTAACGCTGAACCCTAAACCCCAAACCCTAAACCCTAAACCCTAAACCCTAACAGAACCGGATAACTTGCTGTTCACTTCAGCTTTGGGCTGCAGGATTCAGGGCTCCTCGGGTGATATTCCGTCGCCGGAAGAAAGGGCGTTTATGAATCAGGGTCTACATTGCCTTAACCTGCCAAAACCGACTTCTTTCTGCAGGTTCTTATTATGAGTGCTAATGTGGAATGTTTAGGAACCCTACAAAAAAGTAGGTGTTGGTAGGTAAAGGTATGAAGGAAGACTGAAAACAGCCCCAAAGCTAACCCATGAAGGAATCATCAAGTAATCCTTGTAAAGGAGCCCTTAGAGGCATCCTGAAAGGAAAACTGAAACCTGAACCCAACCTCTTGAAGGAACCCAACTAAGCCCTAAACCCTAAACCCTAAATCCCCAAACCTGAACCCTAAATCCCCAAAACCTGAACCCTTAACCCTAAGGGTCTGAGGGCTAAACCCTAAGCCCTAAATCCCAAAACCTGAACCCTGAACCCTAAACCCTAAACCCTGGATCGCCTAAAGCTTGAACCCTTAAGCCTGAGACTGAAGCCTTCCCTAAACCCCAAACAACTAAAGTTTAGGGTTTAGGGTTTAGGGTCTTGGGTTTAGGGTTTAGGGTTTTGGGTTTAGGGTTTAGACCCTAGACCCTTCAAGGAATCCTCAAAGGAGCCCAAAACCCTAAGCCTTATGAACGCTTAAAGGAGCCGTGAAACGAACCGTAAACCCTAAGCCTCAAACCCTGAGAAGGAGTCATAGGCCCCCAGATGCCATCCTATGGGTGAGGATGTACCACTCTATGAAGCGCTTCTGAGCGACATCTTCCCAGGAGTGGACCATTTAAGGTTCTTTCAGGTTCCTTGAAAGGTTCCTTTAAGGGCGTAGGCTTTTAGAGAGTTTAGGGTTTGCGGGCTTGGCGTTTCTTTCAAGGCTCCTTTAAGGGTTTTGGGGGGTTTAGGGTTCCTTTACGGGTTCCTCTACGGGCTTGCATGGGTTTATCAGGATTCCTCTAAGGGTTTATTTACCAGGATTCCTCCGCGGGTTCCTTCAAGTGTTTCGTTAGGGGCGGTTTAGGGTTTAATTAGGGCTTCGGAAAAGTCGGAAGCTTAGCATCCTCGTCAAGGCAGAGTACCAACACTTGACTTATCATTCTTTGTCCAGTTTCCAACTTTGCGAAGCCTAAACCCTAAACCGCAAACCCCTAAACCCCTAAACCCTAAACCCTAAACCCCTAAACCGTAAAGCCTAAACCCNNNAACCCTAAACCCTGAACCCTTTCCTGTATTGAAGAGACTTTGAAGCTCCGTCAAGCCAGGGGTCGAGCTGCCGATTCCGAACTATGGCAAGCTGGAAGAAGTCATCAACCAGGCACCGGAGCCAGTTTAGGGGTTTAGGGGTTTAG